AGACCAGAGGTCGCCAACCTTTTGGACCTCAGGGACCACCAAACTCATAATTTTAAATCCCATGGACCACTAATATGAATTTTGACTGATGGTGGCTTGCTGACATTGGTGGGAAAGTCGGTCCCATATTCCAGAGCTGCAGTAGTCACAGGACTGGCCCTTTGAACATCCTGGAGTAGCTGCTCCTCCAGTCTGTGGCAGGCCATTGCATCCGGGTGGATGAGCAGTTGCTCCAGGATGATCAAAGGGCCAATCCTGTGACAACTGCAACTCTGGAATATGGGACCGACTTTCCCACTGGCGTTAGAAAGCCACCTCAGGGCGGATTTCCCTCCCACACTGTTGGTCTTACCTTCCAGTTCCAGTGGCTCTACTCAAGGTAAGGTTTGCACTCGGCCAAAGGTTGGGGGCCAGCGGGTGGGCAGGCCATCTGGGCGGCACAGTCTTATGTTTCCGCGCAGCCTGGATTAATTACTGGGGGGTTCTTTGGGGGGACACTTCTCTGTGGACCACCAAAATTTTCTTGTGGACTGCCAGTGGTCCCTGGCCCACTGGTTGGCGACCACCGCTTTAGACCAGGGGTTTCCATCCTTGGCTACTTTTAAAACTTGTGGACTTCAACTCCCAGAGAAATTTCTGCTTCTCTTCTTGATTAGTTTCCGTCCATTGTTCCTCTTTTTGCCTTCTGGTGCTTTGGAAAATAGGTTGACCCCTCTTCTCAAATATTGGAACACTGCTATTATGTCACCCCTAGTCTTTCTTTTCACTAGACTAGACATACCCAATTCCTGTAACATTCTTCATGTTTTAGCCCAGCAGCCTCCAACCTTTTGGGCATCAGGGACTGGTTTCCATGGTGGATTTTCTGCAGACTGGAAGGGGCATGGTTTCATATGTTGCCTATACCCCCAAATGGGGCTTTGATTGCTCGGCCCAGTTTCTGGCATGCCATGGCCCGGGGGATCCATTATAGCCTACAGTTCCTAATCTTTGTTTGTTCCTCTCTGCACTCTTTCCAGAGCCCCAACATCTTTTTTTATAATGTGGTGACCAAAATCTGAATTTACACTTCAGTAGAACTACAGTAATCGTTTGTTTCAACCTAAGATTGGATCAGGTGTTACATTGTAATGCCAAATTACACCATAGGAGCATTTGAAAGTTCAAGAAATGTTTGCTAAGCCATCCTTTAGTTTTGCAGTCTGCTGAATTGGAAAAAGAAAGGGGGTGGTGGAGAGGCAGGTGATGTAATTTGAACCTCTAGTTCATGCATGGATATGATCAAAGGAGTGGATTTTGATGCAATTAAAGTTGAATTAATTACCATACTGAGACATCCTTCAGATAGTAAACGAGATTTCTAAAGATCCCTGTTGACTGATGGGCGCATTCACTTACATTTCACAAAAGAACTATTGTTTGGTAAGCTTATAAATTGCTCTTTTATGTTTAACTTACTCCTTAGGCTTAACCATCCACCTCATCTCTTCATTTATTCCCCACAAAATAAATGTTCTAAGGTGACCCGAGTGCTTGAATATTTTATTAATACTGTCCCCTCCTGTCCCATTATACTCAAATGTTATACGTGGCCTTGTCTGAGTTCAAGCTAAACTATCCTCTTCCAGGTTTGTGGATTGGTTTCACAGCATCTTATTCATTAGGTTCTTTTTGTCAAAACAACGTGTTTCTGGCATGTTTGCACAGGATGACTGCGAAAGTCAAAATGGCACCCATGGAGACGATTCAGTATCATTCTGGTGCATGCCAAACATGCAGGTTTTAAGGCACGGCATGTCATGAAAAGTCTTCCTTGCTTGTTCTGCTGAAAATGCAACTTTGGCAAAGGCTTGCAAAACCCTGTTGAATCAACTGTATCCTTCCATATGTTGCTGAATGACAATTCCCTACCATAGGTTTGGGCTGGTACTTCAGCAATTTACAGGGGTTCACAGGTTCCCCATCTCTGTGTTAAGAGAACAATGAAGCAAAAATAATAATAAAAAGTGGAAACAAAGCAATAATAATAATAAAAAAAACCAGAACAGAAACAGGAGAGAAATTATACAATATGATAGATATGCAAAGGGCTTTAAATCCAAAACATCCTTTCTCGAGTGCAAATTAGCCAGTTCAGGTTTAAGGGAAATGACTCCAGCCTGAAGAAGAGTTTCTTGCAAGAGTTACCCTAAGGGAGAGGGAGAAACACTTCCAAAATATTTGCAGCAGCCCTTTCCACCCTCAAACCAATTGATTTCACCTGCAAGAAAGAGTACCTTGAATTCAAAATACTTTGCATGAAAACATTTTTCACAACCAGCACTATTTTCTGTTTTCCCATGTTACTAGCTTCATCAAGAAGAACAGAAGACATGTTGGTATCATCAAACTTCTTGTAGCTGTGTCACTTAAAAGGAACCTTTTTATTGTGGTATAACAGAAGACCTAACTTTAATTTCCAAGTTAAAACATTCCTTCTGACAATTCGCGAGAAGTTTTTTGCAATGGTAGCTCTTGCTTTAGGATGGTTTCCTTAAAAACAGCAAATGCGGTTTCTTCATACTGCACTTGCCCTGCTGTTGAATACATTGGTTTTAAAAATGCTATCATAAATGGAGGACTCTACAGTTAATCCTCAATCTACAAACACCATTGAGTTCAAAATTTCCATTGCTAAGCAAGGCAGTTGTTAAGTGGGTTTGCTCCATTATATGACCTTTCCTGCCTCAGTTGTTAAATGAGTCTCCCTATTGACTTCACTCATCAGAAGGTGATGGAAGGCATGGAATATTGCAACTATCATACATATAAGCCAGTGACCCAAGCATTTGACTATTGATCACATGACCACTGGGATGCTGTAATGGTCATTAAGTGTGCAAAATGGTCATGGGTCCCTTTTTTCAGTGCCTTTGTAACTTCCAAAGGTCACTAAATGAATAGTTGCAAGTTGAGGATTACTAGTATTCCTATGCTTGAGGAAGAGAAAAATAAATACTTCAACCTGGTATCAATGTCATACAATGTTTTCTGCACTAATGCAGCAAACAAGATTTTGCACTAATAACACAACAAACAGTATGTCCTGCTGTCCTTCTCTTATTGCTACTGCTGTAGTTTAAATACTGGCTGCTCAACAGGATTCCTTCAATCCTGAGAATAGTTGCAGTTTCTCAGAGGAGACTGGTCAACCGTGAGATCTTAGAACACCTGCTAGATCTCGTCATGACAAAGAATCTTTCTGAATGACCACAGAGACTTCTCACGAGAGCTGCCAGAATAACTGACTACTTTATAGGGCTGAAATGGCTCGTTTTTTTTGCTTTTTAACAGAACTTGTAGGAAGGAAAACAAGCCATGAGTTCTCAAGGCAGTCCATAAAATAAGATCTAGATCAGCGTTAACTTACCTGGGCAACTTCTGCATGCTTGGGTTTCAACTTCCAAAATGCAGTTGTCCTAGTTGTCTAGATCAGTGTTGTTTTCGACCCTGCAACTTTAAGATTGGGTGGACTTCATCTCTCAGAATTCACCAGCCAGGCTTGCTTCTACCGCTGCACTATAGAGAGTATTTTAACTTACTGCACCTCTGTGTGGTTTGCCAATTGCACAGGGGCAGATAGGAAAGCACTCCAGAGGGTTAACGTCATTGCCCAGAAGATCATGGGTTGCCCTCTCCCCTCTTTGGAAGAGCTTTATAGCTCCCGCTGCCTTAAGAAAGTTCAAAATATTCTTAAAGATCCATCTCATCCTGGGCACACACACACACTTTTTTTTTAACTATTACCATCTGGAAGACGGTGCAGGATAATAAAAACAAGGACAAATAGGCTGAAAAACAGCAACTCTATTGAATTCTACTGTATAGTGCAATATTAATGCAATATCAGGGGTTTTCAATGCAATTGTATAGAATGTGAAGGATGTGTGTGTGTCACTGTACACTGAAGATGGTATTTAACTTCATTGTACGAGGTGCAATGACAATAAAGTAAAGTAAACTAAATTAAAGAAGTTGAAGTCCAACACGTTTTCAAACTGCACGGTTGAAATACACTAGCCTAGACAGACTTAAGAGCACTCTTTTCTTACTCTTAGGGATTGTTTGAACTATGCAAGACAACTTCTTAAGAGCAGAAAACATACTCACATATAAGCATGCTCTGCCTTCCTATTTCCATTCTAGGACTTGCATGGTTCTGTGTTTGAACACTCGGCGGTATAGCCTTACAAGTATTGTAGAAAAGTTGTAGAGCTACACATGAGCAGAGTTACAAATGACATGAGGGAGATTGCATGACTTCAGATTCAACCCCTACAATTTCTGTTTGAAATCTCATATACTATGTATAGGTCTTGGCAGGAGAAAAGAATTCCACATCTGACTCAAACTATGTCAGACCCACTTAGTCTTTGGTATATGCAGATTAGTCAAGTGAATTAATGTGAAACTGGTAAAGGATGACTGAATACACAACATTCTTGACTGGACTGACCTGGTGCAGAAGAAAAATACATTTCATTATTGCTGGCGGCTGCATTGGGAAGAAAAAAAAGGTGGAAATTTGGATCTGAGAACTCCAGAAATACAGATGCTGATACTATTCTGCAGCTAGCATTTGTTCAAGACTGATTCAACCTATACTTTTGCATATTAAACCAAGTGTAGAGAGTGTCACAGAGCCTAAAAAAGAATGGCTGGGAGGAAGCACCTACACTAAGGTGAAGGATCTACAACCTTAACAGGTGTTATTGCCCCTATCAACAATGCCAACAATAAGAGTGTGTCCCCAGGGTGCTTTGGCAAATAGGCAACTGGACTTTCTTGGTTTTTCCCTTGAAAAAGTTTGGCTTCTCATCCAAGAAGCTTCTTCAGTTCTACAAGTTCTGACGAAGGTTCCTGGATGAGAAGTGAAACGTTTTCAAGGGAAAAACCAAACTACGGAAGTCCAGCTGCCTTTTGAAAAAGCACCCTTGGGACATCATTCTTGTTGTTGGCATTGTTATAGGGGCAACAATATCTGTTAGGTTGTAGATCCCTCGCCTTAGTGTAGGTACTAAGAATATTTTTAGGTTCTGGATGATTGAGAATCTCCACAGACATTAAAAATGATCAGCTGTAGTTTAACATCTGCAAGTCTATAGGCTCCTCACCCAATTCAGACCAAGAAGGCAGGACAGGTGAATTAATCATTTGCTGTATTCAGAGAAGCACCGTGTGTGCGTGTGTGTGTGTGTGTGTGTGTGTGTGTGTGTGTGTAATTCCAGACACTCTAGAAATTTCAATATCCTCTTAAACATGCTGTGAAAGGTCCAGATTGGGCAGTGTAGGTAACCTTCTCCCATCCTTGGCACAGTACAACTGTCCAACAAGGGTGATTACCAATTGAAGTATCATAAATGTACATCGGCATCATCATAACAAAACAACGAGATTCACACGCAAGAAATACTTAAGCCACATGGAGCTGCCCATTAAATGTTTCCTACTTCTGCATATACATAATATACAAATTACCTTAGGCACCAAGTCCTCAGGAAAAAAAAAGTCTTTTGTGGCACCCTGGGGACCAAGAGAAGTTATAGAGCATCAGCTTTGTTTAAATTTATTTTATTCTACCTGGGGGAAAAAAAATCCTAAAAATGTCTTTAAGGCCGTTTAACCTCTTTTTCTTGGAAACACAATCCTTCTTAAAGGCACATATTTCATAAGCTTCAAAAAAAAAAAAAAAAACAGAGAGAGGTGGTGATTTAAGCCACATTATCCAGGTCCTAAATAATGCTGGGTCTTAAATGAACTCTCCTCGGAAGGGCAGGGTACTACGGCTTTGCTCCTGCCAGCGGTAGCGAAGATGGGAGAGTGCCCGGCTGTCCAGAGTTTCAAATTCAGAAAAACCCAGCTGGTTCAGGATCTCGTAGACACCTGCCTTGGCTGCCACCTGGAAAAGAGAAAAACGAGTCAGGGGATCGGGAGGGAAGTTGGAAGACGCAGAGAGAAATCTTAATGATCTTAAGAGGATTTTTTTTAAAAAAAAATTGTCATGCACCTTGTGGAGACTGACCCTGAGGGAGAGGAGGAACAGCCGACAGGGAGTGGAAGTGTGGCTCTGGAGGTTGTGGAGGAGGCTGGGGAAGGGCAGAGGCCGGCTGGGCAGTCAGAGGAAGACCCAGGCCCATCCCCTCTCCATCCTAGGGCACGCAGGGAGGAGAGGATAAGGGAGAGATATGGTCTAGATGGGAGGAGAGGGCTTTGATCCTCTTCATGGGCTGCAGCTGTGACAACTGGATAAGAGGACGGACATGCGTACTGGCGAGTGCTAAAAACGAATCGTGTAAATATCTCTAGTTTATGGTTCCTCTCTGAGTTTGGCATCCTTCCCAGTGTGTGTTCTGTTATCTGTGGACGTCCTCCAGCCCTTATCTTGCCTGGTTTGTGTTGTTTTTTACTCTTTATAATATAAACGGCATTTCCTCCTTCTTGTAACTGCTTGTGTGGGAGTTTTTTGTCTCCAGTCAAGGATATTGGAGCCTGGAAGCAAACTGAAGAAATAAAATGGGGCTTCACCTGTTTTTTGTGACTGTGTTTATTTTGTATCCCACCCTAGGTCATCACAAAAATGCAGAGAAAAGATATCTATTGTTTTTGACAACAGCTAGTCCTCGACTTACCACCTTTCATTTGGTGACCGTTGAAATGATCAACTTTCACACACTTATGGCCAGTGCAGCATCCCCATGATCACAGATTCAAAATTCAGATGCTTGGCAACTGGCAGGTATTTATGATAGTTGCAGTGTCCGGGTCATTAGTGACCACCTGACTTAACAACTGCAATGACTGTGGCAAAAAAAGTCACAAAATGAGGGCACAACTCACATAATGGTCTTGTCATGCCCCTGTTGGAGTCTGAATCTGAGGAGGAAGACAAACAGCTGACAGGGAGTGGGAGTGTGGCTCCGTTGGCTGTGGAGGAAACTGGGGAAGGGCAAAGTCTGGCTGGGTAGAGCAGGAAAGAGATATAACAAGGGAGAGGGAGTTCAGAGGAAGATCCAAGCCCACCCTCTCCTCATCCTAGGAAGGGAGGAACGGAAAAGAGAGCAATGTGGGTTACGGGGGAGGAAAGGGCCCTGATTCCCTTCATTAGCCACACCTGGGAATGAGAGTTTAAAAGAACTGAATGCTGACTGTTGGCAGCTGCTGGGAGCAAACGTGACTTTATCTTGTGTTGTCTTTGCTTATCTGTGTTCTTGGTGTCTTTCTAACCGTGTGAGTTTTGTTGTGCCTTCATGTCTAGAATTCTTGCTCTTCCCCTGCCAAACTAATTACCTCAGTTTGGCTTGATTTTGTTGACCACATTTTGGACTTGATTCCATGCAGTTAAAGGCTGGTCCTAGGAGCATTTTTCTCCAGCAAGAAGGTAACCTGGACATTGGGGGCAAAGTTGCAGCTAATAAAGGGAGTCCTATTGATTATCTGGACTGTGTTGCCTTTGTGCCACACCCCAAGTCATTACAGGTCTTGCTTAGCAACAGGAATGTTGGGCTCAATTGTGGTCATAAGTCGAGGACTAACTATAACAGCATGCACAAAATAGGAAACTCATTTGCAGTAAATATCAAAATATGCACCCAGGTGTGTGTGTGCATGTGTATCTGTCACAATGATTAAGCACACATTTTGAAGAAATTCTTTCCTGGTAGAAAAGACTATTTGTAATATTCTACCTCTTGCACTGATGACGTTACCTGGTTTGCTAATGAGATGCCTGCAAGAAACCCACCAAGCTCAGAGAGCACCAAGGTCCTACAGAATTCCTTACTCCTTTCTAAAGTACTTTCAGGTGTACGTGCAATACTCCAATCTATGCATTTTCCAGCCAGACATTCACACATTTTGATTCACGTGGACTGAGTTCTCGGACATTTTGAACCAGTGGGTGCAATTTGACAATGTTGCGTTTGTTAGAGAGCAGGGACGGGACAGAAGCTTCTCCCTGTAGTAACTCCCTCCCTGGCCCAAAAGGGCGATTCCCCATCCAACAAATCAGTGAGACAAAAAGAGAAGGTCGCTTGTCCAGGCAGGTCTCTGCAATGCAATGCCCCTTTTTTGAACTCACAGAAGTCCTTCCCTAAGAAAAGCTCAACTGATGATGCTTACAAGTGAAGGGACTTGGCCAAGAAAGCCTGTCATGAATGCCAAGTCACATATTAGCCTCCACAAAACAAACTGCAAACGATGTCTTTGAGTGTCCTATTGTCCCCATTTAATCGTACCCATTTTTTGTATTCTTACTCACATTTATACTTATACCTATTATTTTGTCAGCGACTGACAAATCAAATAAATAAATAAATAAAAAGAGCAGGTCTTCTCAACAAGCAAAATCAACGGGGAAGCTGTCGGCCTCTTTGCCTCCATCACCTCTGTAAACTGGGGGCTTATAACCCATTAGGATTATAAAGGCTTGAAAAAGGACCCAAAACTTAGTTTAGTTCGATGTTTCTTTTTAAAACAATTAATGAAATTAAATGTATATTTGCAGTTATCCAGTGATTTGTCTCTCTGTATATGCATCCTTCAGTCCAGCATTAAGAAGGCAAAAACAAATGGAAAAAACGTAATAACACAAAATCAAAAAGGAAGAATTTAAGCTGCAAGCATTTGCAGATGATCTGGTTTTCATCTTAGAAGACCCTCTAGAAACAGCACCAAAATTGATAGAAAAGATAGAGGCATATAACAGCTAGATCTGGCGAAATGGGAAAATTTACAACTGTCACTAATAGGGAGAATTTGGTTTGCCTAATTGGGAGTTGTATTATCAAGCTACAAATCTGATGTGGGTTAAGGAATGGATAACACTAAGAAATACTAGATTGTTGACATTAGAAGGACATGATTTGTTGTTGGGGTGGCATGCTTTTTTATGATATAAAGGAACTAAAACACAGGGGTATTTTAGAAGACATTATATACGGGAGTCTCTGTGGTTAAACTGGGAGAAGATTAAAAGACAATGTTATTTGAAAATTCCAGTCTGGCTATCGACTATTGAAGCATTTTCTTATCCTATAATATACAAAAAGGAACAAACAGTTAGATATGGTGAAATATTGAATGAAAAGGGTGAACTCAAATCTATACAAAAACTAGAGGAACAAGGTATGAAGATGAATTGATTTTCATATGCGCAAATACATTCAAGGTATGATAAAGATTCTAAAATAGAAAGTTTCTATGATAAACTGACTGATTTAGATAAGATTTTGACAGGTACTGATGAAAAGGTGATTAAAAAATTGTATGGATATTTATTAGAAACTAAATTAGAAGAACAAGTTAAAGAAACTATAATTGCTTGGGGGAAGTATTTTGGATATGGGATTGATTTAGAGAAATGGCAAAAATTGTGGTCTCAAAATTATAAAACGACAATGTCAACAGTATATAAAGAAAATTTGTATAAGATGTTTTACAGGTGGCATTTCCCCCCGACAAGAATAGCAAGAATGTTCAAGAATAAATCCGAAAAATGTTGGAAATGTCATCAGACACCTGGCTCATATTACCATATGTGGTAGACTTGTGCGGATGCTAAAAAATACTGGACCAAAATCCACATGTGGTTGGTAAAAATGACAAAAAAACATATAGACTTGAAACCAGAGATATTTTTATTGGGAATTTTACCTGAAATTTATAGTAAAGATTTGAAATATCTGATTGTAAATGTATTAACAGCGGCTAGGATTTTTATTTGCTAAAAATTGGAAAAATGAGAAAACACCATCACAGGAGGAAATCATTAAGAAAATAGTGGAATGTGCTGAAATGAGTAGATTGACATTTGAAATTAGAGAACAAGAGGATAAACAATTTTATAAAATTTGGGATCTTTTCTATCAATGGTTGGACAATAAAGTACAGTAATGAAATATGTAGACTTTTAGAAAATAATAAATATATAAAGATGTACTTTTTTCTTATTATATCTACAAAATGATTTTAGGATAGATTTGGGATGATAATATGATCTGTTATAAAACAAACTAAGTAAATTATGATTATCTTGTAAAACATGAATGAATAAAAGTATAGTCAAATGATTGATTAATAATGATACTAAGGTATTTAATTTTTGATTGAAAATACGAGATTATATACAATGTAATTGTAATTAAAGACTACGAAATGGAAGCACAAAACAATTTGTAAACCAACCAGCACACTGTATGTATACATATGGAAGATGGCTTGATGTTTTTATGTTTTGTTTGTTTATGTCTGTTTTTAAAACCAATAAATTTTTTTTTAAAAAAAAAGATTTTTATTGCATGTTCTCAACTAACTAAAGCCCCTCAGAGGATCTCCTGTCTTGTTTCCAGAAGATCAAGGAACACAGAATTTTCCTGTCCGAAACAGTAATACATTCAAACCACATATTATTACAATACAACAGGATGCTTTCAATCGTCCCTCTATAGAAAGTGGTAAGGATAAAGATATGCTCTTCTCATATGATGCAGAAAACACTGGCGCTGCTGTGCCCCCTTCACCAGTGTTGAACATCCAATCTAGTCTACTCATCAACTGCACACCCAGAAACTTGATATACTAACTACCTCCACAGTTGAATCATGATCTCTTTTGTTTTTCCTACATTAAAACCCAAGATAATTTTATTAAAACAGTTCATCAAGCCTTCTACCTCTTCCTGGTAATCACCCTCATTATCCTGAACAAGGCCCACCATTGTTGTATCATCCACATACTTCACAATATAGTTGGTAGCAAACCTTGCACTACAGTCTTGGGCCAGCAGGGTGAACAATAGTGGACTTAGGATACAGCCCTGAGGAGAACTTGCACTCAGGGATATGGTGTTAGAAATATTAGTCCCAAATCACATCCACTGAGGCCTATCAGTGAGAAAATGAA